AATTTGTAGAACGGCAACCCTATTCCTGTCGCTCCGTTAGTATTACTCCGGCTTTTGAAGGGAGAAGTTGTGTCGCTTACGATCAGAAAACACATTACGCAAGAGGAAGACGTAAAATTAAAATGGGAAATAACCGTTATAAAAATAAGAAGCGACTGGGTTGGCGTTAAGAAACAGGCATATATATGATAAACATAATGAAATAAGTATCTAACGACCTATCTACTTAGAGTATTAGTGATTACAAACATGTCGGTACATAGCATACGACGCGCGGGGAAGTGGGGGCGAAATTAGAATTTGAGCTGACGTACTCTCACCTCTTAAGAATAATTTCTTAGTATTATTCCAGTTAACCTGTTATTCCAGGTTCGGCCGCAAATGGAATACTGTTCCCATCTCCGGGCTGGGGCTCCTCTGTGCCATATCCTTCCATTTGATCGAATCTTCGGCGACCGAGCTCTTTCCGATCGGCTTAACTCACTGGCACTTCGAAGAGATGTTGCATCTCTTTGCGTTTTTTATCGCATTTACCACAGAAAGTGCTCTGAGGAATTGTTCGGACTAATTCCAGCCGCACAATTTTACCATATTAATTATAGCATATCGCGACAAAACTCGCGATACCATCCATACCATCTGGATGAGCAGTCCACCACTGTGTGATTTTAAAGAAGTTTTCTTCCTCTCATAACTTCCTAGTGGAATCGACTACCACCAGAGATTTTTCCGGACCGATACGACTTAGGGCACGCAAATACATGACTTGGTAAAGAACTGAGCCGTGGTAGCTCAGATGGTTAACGCTCGCTGTAAATATAACAGAACGCGAGTAACCCGGGTTCGATTCCCGCCGGCACCAATGAAATTGTTAATTGCAACTTTAAGTGCTGATTTACCACGTGCTCGGCGGTGAAGGAAAACATGTACGTTTGAGGAATAAGGAAAAAATATTTCGAAGACATGTAAAGTTCGCCAACACGCATTGGGGCATCGCGGCGGACACTTCTTTGCACTTAAATCCTCTCAGAAATGAGGGGAGGCCTGTATCCAGCTGTGGGACGTATATAGGCTGTAACTTTACTTTACTTTACTTAAAGAAGTTAGTAGTGTCAAACTGTATGTAAAGGTTGTCGACGTCAGTCTATATTGAACTGCATGATATTTGTTTTAAATTTATTTTATCACAATAGCATGTATATGATGCCATAATGAACAAAAACAAACCTGTTGCACTGTTGATGTACCTAAATAAATAAATTTATAGCCGCGGTTGAGCCGACTTATTCGTGATGCCGGTACATCACAAATAAGTCTGCTATGTCACCTATATGTCGTCACCTAAATACGGTGTAACTATACCTCGAATATAGTACGAGAGGGTAATATGGTGATTCGGTTAATATGGTCACTTTCTTATAACTCAAAACCTGTAGCCTTGTTTGCATAAATGGTTCTGTGATACGATAGCGCTCATCAGTCATTCAAATAATAAAGGGTCAAAAGGACGATGCCTTATCGACGCCAATTTAACAGTTGAAATTATACCGTAGTAAATATTTTAGTCGATTTGAGGTATTGTGTTGTGTAGTTAGTTTTTTTTAAGTACGTGTTCCTAATTGTTACCAAAGCTTGTTTGCTATTGTTTTCGTAATATATTAGTTATAGTATATGGCTTTGCTTTTTTTGCCTCTGTCCTCCTCTTAAAGGTTGACTCACGCTAGACCGAGTCGGGTCCGAGCCGAGTGTCGGCCGTAGCACGGTCACCGAGCCGATTCCGTGCCTGAAATCACAAAGGCGGGCCTCGACCGAGCTATTACCGTTGGGCCATGATGCAGTTACTCGTTCGAGCACCAACTATTGGTGCTCGGACACAATCATGTTGATGTTTGACGATCTGGAAGTAGCGACAATTGCGATCGCTCTGGACGATGAAGAATCTGATAAATCTTCAACTACAAGCCGGGACCGATTTGTTGCCGAGCGTTGTCCGTTGCTCGGCAGTCGCTCGGTTGCCGCTCGGTATAGCGTGAGTGTGTCCATATAAAATATCTGTATTTTTCGACGTGTTCGACGATCCTTTGTCATGTCCTATTAAAAATCCTTAAATTCGCAAAAAAAAATTGCGGGTCATTCATGGGCAAAAAAACTATCCTATCTATCAAGTTGGACCACACTGCACACGGTGTGAAAATTTTATTAAAATCGGTTGAGTAGTTTAGGAGTCCATCGCGGACAAACAACGTGACACGTAATTTATATATATTAAGATTAGTTGACCGTGCTACGGCCGACACTCGGCTCGGACCCGACACGGTCTAGCGTGAGTGAACCTTAATTTTGGTTTTATACTTACTTAATTATCCTCACGTACCTGATATTACTTATTTCTACAAATTTTTCCTGTGCGTTAGTTATCCTCTTACCACATTATCCCATGGATGTCAAAAGAGGCAATTGATGACAACTGAAACAGCAGCACCTTCCTGCTAATAGTTCAAAATAGTAAAAAAACGTTGTTATAAATCCACCCACCAAATATGGAAACTACGTCAAATGTCACCCTTATGAAGCAATCTATTTAAGGAGCTCTATGTCACAGTTAATATATTATAGGAAATTTATCCTGTGTCTGTGTTTACCAGTGGACTTTTAATCCGTTGTAATCAATGATTGTCATAACTGATGGCATGGTAGCGCATCGGTCAAGCATTTGTTTACGGCATTGTGGGTCACGAGTTCAATTTCCTTTTTAATAGCCAACAAAAATTGTTCCGGGACATTTTGTTCATCCTTGTGCAATTTGCGTTTCAAAACATCACATTCACACTGTGTACAAAAGTAAATATTTTATAAAGTGTACCTATATAAGTATAAATATACTATTACTAACGACCAAAAATAAATGATAGGAGCGTTTAGGTAGACAGCATTATATTTTGAAAGGATGAAGGGTCGATTATATATCGTATAAAAGTTTCCACAGCAGACATAATAAGTACAATTGTGTGCATTAGAATCACCTCGCGTGACGGCTCTCTGATCCGTGATGAACAAACGTATTCGAGGGGGACCTTTGGACGAATATTCACGTAAATATTGTATGCTAGAGGTCAGGAATAATTTATAATTTTGTAATGTATTAAGTACTAGTAGCCTTATAAAAATTATTAAGTATTATGGCAATTACTTTACTTCTATCGTCTATGTTACTATCTGTGTCGAGTAAGTTGGTAATGTACATGGGTTTGTAGCTTTATTATTATAAGCTTAATAATAATTCGACAAACAACACACACAGAATAGTAATTACATACATACATAAACACTCACGCCTGTCACCCAGAGGGGTAGGCAGAGACTACAGACTTCCATTTAGCACGATCCTGACTTACCTCTCTCGCCTCCTCCACATCGATATACCTACGCATACATGCTCATCGGTTAAGGGTACTCTTAATTTGGTCCGTTTTTAATTTATAGCCAATTTGGTCGACAAACTTTCGCCTAGGACGTCCCTTTCCGACTCTTCCTTTCACTTCTGCAACATATTGTTGCTTTGTTAGTCTTTCCTCATTCACTCTTTCTACACGACCAAACCACCGAAGCATTCAGAAGTAACATACTCCTTAGCGACTGCATTTATTCTACTATCGTGCTTCTTCTGCCACACCCAACATTCACTACCATACGTTAAAGTAGGGACTAATACAGCATTGTGAATAGTAATTATTATATGTAATTTTATTTTAATTAAACCCAACAACTGCATGGATGACTTGAACACCGATTTTTCGTAAGTAGAGCTGTGATAGCAAGGACTCTAAGCGCTCCCTATAAATTCCACAGTACGCAAGCAACCGCGGTTCGATTACCGGCGGCACCAATACAATTTTAAGATTGAATTCATGTACATATTATTTTGATACTTATCAATAGTCTCTATACACCAAATAGCACAAATATGTAGTCATTCTCAAGGCCTCATATTTGTGCCATTTATTCAGTTCAACCGTCTTTGATGTCTAAAACATTGTAAGTAACCCTTTTAGAAACGAAAAGTCTGTGTCTAACACCGGAACGTTAATTTCTTTAGTAAATGCAGATACGTTCAAAGAAAATACGCAAACGAAGGAAGAGATAACAATTGCTCTAATTTAATGGAGGGAAAGATTAATCGTTTGCCGTGTGCCTAGAAGTAGTTTCATCCCATAGGTGTCGTAAGAGGGTACTATGGGTAATGCCAAAGAAATCTTATGACTTCCGATACATGGCGATTTGAATATCTTCTTTACGCCAGGTGTATTTGTATCTGCCAAGCGTGACACTCAACTTGCCTGAATTATCACGCTTGGAAGGATCTCTAACGTGGGGGAGGCCCATGTTCAGCTGAGGACTTATATGGCTGATGATGAATTAGTAGAATAAACAATTCTAAATTTGAGGGCAATAGTATAGTCACTAATCACTTTAAAAATGCCTACAACAAATGACGTATTGACAAATCATGTGAAGACCAACAGACCAAATACGTCAAAAAGATTCAGATTGGGACATTTTAGTACGAAACTTTCGATGTGTTTAAGGTTCTCTTCAAAAACAATGTCCGAAATTTTTATTTAATAAAGCTAAAATAAACGGCTGTCTCTGGTAGGGAAATGCGCGGCCAAGAGAAAGAACCAAGAGAAGCCATTGTTAATGATTCATGCCTTCAGGCGCCGTCCTAGAAGGCGCTAGTACACTGCCAAGTGTAAGAATATTCACTACTCTATATCTTCCTGTGGGTATCGTAATTATTAACAACTATTTGCGGGACTATTTAGTTCATTATTACTTTACAAGATTATCGTTGTTTTCATATTAAAATTTACTTAAGCCTTGCACAGGTAAATACATGCTTATGCATCAATCAGGATTTTAATTTATATTCGAACACTGAGGATATAGTTAAAGCTTAGACTTAAACTGATGAATATATAATAGATTTTCTTTTGTTTCAGATTCCCGTAGATAGAAGTGTCAAGTCCAGATCTTTAAATATTAATGGAGTATGCTTCAAGGATTATTCATTGATTAAGAGTTTACGCTCTGGTGAAATAAAATCAATAGATATTCGTAAAAGAATACAAACGGCAGAAAGTACATCAAATCATGACGTAGCTGATAGAATATTTCATACCTCTTATCAAAGTATTATACCCAAAATGAGTATTAATTTAGAAAAAGTTGTTGAACAGAACCCTAGAATTTTAGATTTGAGAGAAAAATTAAATGAAATTACAAAAAAGCAAGATCTTAAAGTAGACAAAAGGACAAAAAGTTTTATTAACGATTTAACACAACAGTTTTCCGAAGACAATGAGAGCAATGAATCAGGACCATATAGTCTATTATTTGACCTGCAAACAGATCCTACCACATCTCATAAAATGGTCATGGGTGCAGATACTCGTAAATCTCATAATGATATAACAAGTGACAATAAACCACAAAGCATAAAAAATATCACAAATCCTGCTAATAAAAGAATAGACAGGCTACCAAACGTTATCAATTTTGATGACAAGCCCATGAAAGAATTTGAATATTCCTGTGAAAAAGAAGTTACCATTCCAGATAAAAAAACATTTAGCACTCACTCTAGATCTGACTTATGCTTACAGCTTAAATCTCATATTCACCAACGACCGTACGAAACGAACTTAAGTCCGAACGACAATTCTATAAGTAGAAATAATGAAGAGAATTCCCTAGATGACAGCTTAGGTATTTTGACTCCTGATCAAATGGATGACATATGTTACTTAGAAAATGCGTTTTCTCCAACAGTTGAAGGATTACCAATATTTTGCGATAGTAATGATTATAAAGTATCTCCGGATAGTGGTGATACACCTTCAACGGATAAGACTGAGAGTAACTCAGCAGCGTCGACAATACAAAATGAAACTTTTGAAAGTGTAAGTCATAAAAAAACAAGTTCTTTTGGGAGTTCGATAGTCCCAATTGTATCTTTTAAAGCGTTAGAAGCTCAAAATAAACAAGACTTAAAATATGACAGTAATTCAATTAACTTATACGATAAAACCTTTTGTGTTCTGTTAGATTCAAAAACAGAGTTTGAAAATTGCCCGGAGAGCGAGAAGATTGATTTATACAAGTCTCAAGAATTAGCACAAAATTTAGTTGATGAAGAATTCATGCCATCAATTCATAGTAGTATTTTAGAACCTGCAAGTTCTATTGCAGATACAACGGTTAACCTTGATATACCTTTAGATACCAAAATAGGGCTTCGTAATGCCCCAAATCGAATAGAACAAACACCGTCTCCAGAAGATTTACCACTCGATAATTCTGAAGCAAATGGTGAAATCAGTACGTATTCTCAATTTTCAGCATCAACATTGCATGACTCACAAACTTTTTCAGACAGTAAAACTGATTACACAAAATCGATGGAAACATCAAAGGTATCTAATAGTTTTATAACAAGCATAACTAGTATTACTAGCTTGGATGGTTATCAAGGTGATGGTGAAATGTCAAGGCCAATTAGTAGAAGTGCAGATCATCCAATGGGTCCTCGTGAAGATGCCTTAGATATGGACTGGCAAAATGTTCCCGTAACAAGGAGAGTAGATCCTATGACTGATTCTGATTTTTTCACCGAAAGCGATGCTGATGGTTTAGATGAACATATGCAAAAAGGCGACCGCAAAGCTCAAGTTATAGATGGAGCTCTTTATGGTGGCAAAAACGGTAATACAAATGCTCCTTTAATAGTAACTAGGAGTGAAGATTCTTGCATGGAATCAAGTGGAGTATATACAGATTTTGAAAATCATCGTGCGTCTCCTGTATTTTTGAACGTGATTAAAGATATGTCTCCTGATTCAACACCGTCACCCCGTTCTGATTGTAGTCAAAAAAATTTGAGCTCAAATAAACTAGATACGTATTTTAGTAATTTAGAAGATACATTGGAGGAGCAATCTAATATATCCCATATAATTGATGATGATTCTACACCTAAAAATAATAGCAAGAGAAACTCTCTTAACAGCGAAAAAGATGCGACGACAATCAAAAAATTTAAAGAAGAAAAACGAACTGTGACGCTTAAGAAATATAAAATGCCTAAACGTGATGTACCTAGTAAACTAAAAACTCTTTTAGTGAGCCGAAAGACAGATGCAGAACCTAGTGTACAAAATAGTCCGAAATTGGCCAAAAAGACCGAGAGGCGCGAGAGTTTTCTAAAAAAATCTTCGATTGAAATAAAGAGTGACTATAAAACGAAAACTTTTAAGGATATTAAATCGAAAGTAGACTGTACGCTTTCGTTGCAACGCTCACAGACCGCGTGCAGCGTAACTAGAATTCAAAGCTCTAAATCCACTAATATCAACACGAAACCAAAAAGGTAACTCCAGCTTCCCGATTTTTTCGTAATTATTGTTAAACCTATTTTTTCTTATTTTTAGTTATTTTAGGTATATGAGAGTTTTATTACGTTAGTTACTAATTTCTTTTTTTTTCAGCCGTCACATGCGCATGCGAATGGAGGTGGGTTCCGTCCATGGCAGCGGCAAAAGCAGTTTACACAGCTCACAAAGCGATATCAGCACTATCAGTACGCCACTAGGCAAACATTCGACCAGTCGCTTCCCGTTGTTAAGTAAGTATCGATTTGTCTATTATTAAATATACTATCTACTACTATTGAATCGGAGTAAATCTAGGTTATTTATAATTATTGCTAAAAAACAATTTCGTAAAAATTTTACATACGGATAAAGGTAGTAGTTGTTAGTTCATAATAAGAGAAGAGTGTGGTTTGCAAGATGATGTTGTGACCAGGATTAAGAAAGGAATGCTTCGGTGGTTTGGTCATGTGGAAAGAATGAATGAGGAAAGAGTGACAAAGAAAATTTATGGTGCAGAAGTGAATGGCAGAGTCGGAAAGGGACGTCCTAGGCGAAAATTTATCGACCAAATTGGCGATTTATTGAAAACGGGCCAAATTAGGAGTACCCTTAACCGACGAGCATGTATGCGTAGGTGTATGGATGTGAAGGAGGCAAGAGAGGTGTGTCAGGATCGTGCCAAATGGAAGTCTGTAGTCTCTGCCTACCCCTCTGGGTGACAGGCGTGAGTGTTTATAGATAGATATATAGATAGGATAAAGGTTGTGTGAAGACAGAAATGCGAATCATAATATTTGGCTCGAAAAAAAAAACAATAAAGATGACACTAATTTGCTATTCGAACCCCCATAACGAAACCATGTAAAACATACCTATATCAAATGTGCTTACTATTTTTATGTCATTTGGAATTAATATTTTACAAATTCGTTTTTATTTTTATTTAATAAAAAGAAACAAAATCGAACAGTTTAAACCCTTGCCGCCGTACCGGCCAGTGCCCGCTGAGTGTTGGCCAGACAACCAATTTTTCTATAACTTTCCTCATTTTGAACCCTCTCAGAAATGAGGGGTGGCTTGTGCCCAGCAGTGGGACGTATATAGGCTGTAACTTTACTTTACTTTTCCTCATTTTGGTACCAATTCGCTTGACAATTGCAGGGAGTGAGGAAATGTTTTCATTTCCACACTGTTCTGATAGAGGGGACCTTAATATCGGGAACACATAATATCTGTGCCTTTTAAAGGCACACATGCTGTGCACATGTGCAGGTGAGGGAAAAAATATCACTGTATCCTTACACCACGTGGCGTAACGCTCTCAGCTAACGTGTTTTAATGCTGGATACATAAATCCTGTAATAATGGTTAAAGGCCTTTTTTACGAAAACCTAGCTCAACAAGTGTTAAAATTAAAAAAAATTTGTGTATTTAACCAACTTCAATATAAATAAAATGAGAACATCATCAATGTAGTCGAAGTCAATTAAATACGCATTATTATCTTAATACTCCTCTCAGCCCCTGCAGCTAGTAATATATATAAATTACGTGTCACGTTGTTTGTCCGCGATGGACTCCTAAACTACTTAAACGATTTTAATCAAATTTGCGCACCGTGTGCAGTTTGGTCCAACTTGAGAGACATGAATGACCCACAATTTATTTGCGAATTTATGGATTTTTAATAGGATATGACAAAGGTCGTCGAAAGGGGCAAAACAACGTCTGTCTGGCAAGCTAGTTGAATTATATTTTTCAAAAGAGTTTAAAATCTTATGAAATTATATTCGGAAATAAAGTAGATAGGTATATAACGAATTAAATTCGATGGCGATTTTTACGAATATCATTTCAAAAGAAATTGAAATCTTTTGAGATTACATGTCCTCAACTATAGAAGGTACTACAATAGTGTGGTGTGCACTTATTTCCCCTTTAACCCTAAATATACTGTTCTAAATATACAATAATAGCTTTAATGTCGATTTTGTCATGATCTCAATTGCAAAAAAAGTTGACAGTTTGGCTTAAATCACTAACTTATGATGACATTTAAGATATATTTACAATAAAAAATGAGTTGAGTTCTAAAATTTAAAATTAAGTTAAAATAAAACATTTTTAAATAATTATAAGCACGTTATTAAAAAGTAGTAATTTGTAAAGCGTTTAATTGTACATTTTATGTTAATTTACTTTAAGGAAGAAACTAGCATTTGAGACACAGGCTTTGCTTAGTTTAAATGCTAGCAATTTTTATCTTCTAGTGTACCTACACTTCCTGTTACAATTTTCCAAATATTAAAATTTAATTTATTAAATTTTCAATTTTCTGTAAATATAAATAGGTACTTAAACAACATAAACTAAATACTTAAGAAATGTTCACAGCCTTGGTGAAACTTGTTAATTTAAAAAAAATTATTCAACCCGTAACTTTAATCTTAAGTATTAGGTAATAAGTGTGTACCATATTTTAATTTGTCAATAAACATTATTATTATTATTATAAACATTATTTAAGGTATCTTTATAGTTTTCTCATCTGGTTGGGTTCCATAAATATATAATTGTGAATGAAAATTATAAATGTTATTATTATTATTTGCTTGGGGTATCGGGTTGGGTTTACAATTCGGTCGCCTCAATTTGAAGATTCTGTCACTATGGGGGAGTCAAGGGGGTTTATCTGAAGCAACAGACCCCGTCATCCTCTTCGTGGTTATTTTTTTATAAACCTCCGTCGACCGAGCTTCCCTCGACTGCACCACGTTAAGTGGCGTAGGGCTTCTGTTCACCAACACTCTCTCACCCCATAAATCAGGTTAAAATTGTTATAAAAATAACCTTAAAAGAGATTTTTAAAAAATTAAAAAAAAATTAAGCACGTCCGGCAGGAAGGGGAAGTAGGGGTGACTCTAACACTCCTTCCCACCCCCCACATCACTCCCCTCCCCCTAATTCAGGCGACTGAATTGTAAACCTCACCCAGGGTATCTATACAGTTTTCTCATCTGTTTGGGTTCTATAAACGTATAATTGTAAACGAAAATGAAATAAATACAGATACATAAATATCAATAAAATAAAGTAAATACAAAACAGTCGCCTCAGATAACCCGAGAGGCTGACTGGGTTAATCCCATTCGCAGAGACGACTACAGGAATAATTTCGGTCGGCAGACCACACCACGTATCGGTTACCTGTAAGCCTGGTCCAGATATTTTGTTTTATCTGATTCGGCTTTCACTAGGTTCTCATGATTTTCGAGCACGGCTTCCGGCAAGTACTTATAAAAGACAGTTTCCTATCCACGAGACCGTATTTCAGAGCGTGCTCCTGGTGTAGAATCCTGGCTACTAGGTTGTGCTTGTGCAAGTAAGAGTTAGAAAGCGTCGAACAACCGGAGACCTAAGTGACTCACCGGGATGGCGTCAAGCTCGACAGATATCGACAGTGCCATCCTTTAGAATGTATCTCCGATAGTTGTTGGTCTTAGTAATCTGATCCTGTATTGCACTGACAAAACTCTCGGTTTCCTCGAAGAGGTCACCGAAACGAAACCAGTTGAGGGAAGCGACTGTATCTACGAAGGGCACATGTAAAGCCCTGTGAGCTCCCGTGGAGCTCCTTCTCCTTCCATACGGCCTCCGGGTCGGAAATGCTATGTATTTCTGGGTTCTGCAATTGCTCGTTGGCTAAGGATAGAGGGGTAAGTCCTTTATCACTAGAAATGACGTCATTATAGAATGGATCATCCGATCTCGCCAGGAAGTAATGACGGAGGCTGCACACTTCGCGATTATGCATGGTGAGCGCGCTCAGGAAGCCACGCCCACCGGGCTTTCGCGGCAAATACAGCCTTATTACCGACGATCTAGGATGATGCATCCTATGGAACGTCATGGTAATGCAGATTTTTCTATCCAGGGCGTTAAGTTCATTCTGAGACCACCTGAGTATGCCAAAGGTATACATGAGGACAGGCATGACCCAACCGTTATATGCATGTGTCTTATTCACACCGGACAAAAGTCTGTTAAGCACTTTGGTCAAGCGTGCATAAAACACGTCGCTAACTGACTATTTCATACCAGCGTCAGCGATACCGATGTTCTGTGACATACACAGGTATCGGTATGTTTCAGCCTCGGAAAGGGTCTTTAAGTTGACGGGCATAGATAGATAAATCTACGCCCTCAGAGTTAGCAACCCTTCCTCTTTCAACATGGAGGACCGCACACTTATCCGTTCTCAGCTCCATTCTAATAGAATTGCTAAAATCAAATGTTTAGCAATTCTACAAGAGAGCAACTGGAGGGGAATAACTTAAGATCATCCATATGGAAAAGGTAGATCACTTTTGTACCTCCTTTCCGAAGCTGAAATCCACTCCGGGAGCCCTCCAGTAAAATACTGAGAGGGTTCAAAGAGAGGCAGAACCAGATTTGACTCAGACAATCGCCCTGGAAGATACCCCTTCTTAACCATATGCGGCTTTCCGCAGCCGTCGTTCCGTAGCCGTCCGCTTATTATTATTATAATATATTATTATTACTCCTGGTTGTCAGTCGACACAGAAATCATTACCGAAAAAACTATTAATTTATTTATTTCAGGTTATTGGTCAATATATAGTCTCTGTCTGATTAAATAGTTCTTTCTTTCTTTATTTTTTATTACACACACTGTAAGTTAATAATAATTTTAAATATTTAAAAAAGAAAAAAATAATTACGGAGTTATAGGTTCCGCCTCGCCGCGAACTGAAAAACTCACTCCATCTTAAATTTACTTTCAGTTAATTAACGTTTCTTATTGTCCTTGATGGTTACAATCATGGGCACAGAATAGAGCATTGTGTTAGGATGCTGCTGTATAATACGTTGTTGTAATTCAGGGCACTAGATAAACGCAATCATGGTACATATAGCTGGCCATGGAAAAAGCATGGCTTTTTTTTCTGCTCAAGGTTTTTTCTGATTTAAGGAAGTATAACGAAGATGTTCACTCTCTACTCTGATGTACATGTCTAAAAAATTCGTGGAACAGCTGTCTTGACGGCCGAAGAAGGTTAAAGTCATCTTCTCGAAACATGTAATAGGCATAAAAATGCATTCTGGAAACTTTTTTATTGATAACTAGTTGTTTTGAAGTGGGGTTATTAAGCTGAAAAGCAAAATGATATCCCAACTATAACTTGCTAAAAATTAATAAGTACTGCAAGGCATCATAGAATAATATAAGTACTCTTGTCAGTGTAAGTATAGTCG